AATGGCAGCAATCTCTCCGAGAGATGTGGGTTTTGATTGTTTCGTTGCATCACACTTAGGTCCTTGACATCCTAGAGAACGAATTGGAGTCTGGGGACGCCCAAAAAGCACATTAAAAGGAATGGGTGCTGGAGGGGGTCTGAAAGTATCAGGCTCGATGTGTCCAGATTTAGTCCAACCAAAAGCCCTGTTGACAGCCCGGGGGCTGCCCCACGGTATGCTCTCAAGTTATCCTGCTCTTCCAAAGATGGAGGGCACTGCGTGAAAGAAAATAAAAAATTAAGCTCACATACAATTGGAATGTGTCAACCACAACATGAACAGTTCCCACCTTTTACAGCTGTAGCAGGGACAAAGAAATCAACACTAGGGACAATCTTACACCAAATTTGTTGAAACTATTAGCAAGTTAATACAAGTATACAATACAAGTACGGGGGATTTTTTTATTTTTTATTTTTTTTAGAGATCTTTGAAAGATAACCCAGAGAACAAACATGATTCTAATACTATGTGGACAGAAAGATGCATGCAAATTAGAAATTTAATTAAGAACATCATTCTGCTACTGGCCCAGAGCAACAACTGTAGGGTGTGCTTTTGAAATAAATACACAAATAATGTGGCACATGGTCACATTTTTCATGAAAAAGATGCCATTCTTTACATAAGAATTTATATAGTATATTGGAATGAGTAGCTGAATCTGAAGCAGCTAGAAGATTCTCCTCCCTTTTCTACTCATAAGAAGGTCAAGTTTGTCAACTATAAAACATCATACTTAAGGATGAACAGAACAGACCAACAATATAAAGAATGCAAGATCCTTAAGCCAGCTGAAAGTGATATCAGATCATGCCTTCTTGACTCTATCACTTCAGTTGCTAGTTGAAGTAATGGTATAGCACAATAATGAAAAAAATAAAAGTAAAATATTGGATCAGCATCATGGAGAGGCAAACACTGGAGTAACACTAATAACACTTCCAAAGAGACAGTTGCAGGAGATGCAAAGGCAACCACAGGTTCACAAGTCAAAGCAGTGATGACATCCCTAGTGCATGGCAGTCACTCCTACACTTATATATCGTGGCAGATGAACATCCTTTCACAATTTCACCGAACGAAGAATCTTAAGAATTGCACGAAAAGCATCAGAGAATGAGAGAGGATTACATGCTACTCCTTAAAAAAAAACTTTATGTTAACATCCTTTCACAGTTTCACCAAACTAAGAAGCTAAAGAAGGCGAATTAGATTGAGTACATGTACAAAAAAAAAAAACTTTATGTTAACATACATAGTAATACACAGGTGTCCCTTGCAATTGAGTCTTTCTGGAAGAGCAACAGCAACCACCCATAGCCAGTTTTTGTACTTCAAAATCTAGGTCTTCATGACAAATCCTCCCTGCCGTACATCATAAGAGATAACAAGAAAAATCATAAGTATTACACAAGCAATAAGACTAACATGGATTCCAACTCCATGATGGCATGATGTGCTCATATCAAAAGTACTCGTACAACGATAACGATATTAGTGTCACACAGCGGAAAATCCCAAAAAGGAAACTCGATCTAAGAGATGGAAAAATAACAAAATAACATTGATTTATTTAGAAAGCCTGTCTGAAATTGGAGCAAAGAGAAAATTAAAAATTCCGATAAATCAGCAGCTTAAAAACAGCAAGAGCATTTCACATAAATACGATGAGAAAACACATGAGGTGATTTTTATGTCTATAGCTTCAACTATACATCAACTAGATACCCCTTTTTGAGCTACTCCGTAGCATTTAGCAGCAGAAGTACCTCAACTCCTACCTTATTCCATAATTTGAAACAAATATAATGAAATTTGTGCTCATCAAACTCGCTGCACCAAAATCAGCAACTACGGAATCACCAAGAGGTAATAAATTCACTGGAAACCCTCTCATACGCTCCTATCGACTTTCGACACGAAAAATCGAGCAGATTCTTTCGGGATTGGGTATTAGAGTCGACTACCAAATCATATACTACTAAAGTGATTTCACACACATCAATCCCCCTCCCTTACTCTTGAATTCATACTAGCAACAAAACTACCGCTTCGAAAATGTCAAACAAACATAATTTTTCCTGCATAATTTAGCTATGACCAAAAATCATGAAAATCACCACAAAATTATCTACAATCTTCATTTACAAATCTAAATTCTCAACATATAGTAAAAATAAAAATAATAAAAATAAATCAATGATACTTTACTCTAAACAGCAGATTCTAGAACTTATTAATCACTAATTATGAGCTTACAGAATACGAAAATATAAATGAAACGAAAAAATAGTTCAACAATTCAGCACAAAAACATCGAAAAATGCTACTAACAACAGAAAAATTCAACCAAAAACAAAATCAAAATTACAAACAAGTAACAATTTCCAGTAAACAAAATCATCACAAAACCCTAAAATCAAAACAAAAATAAGTAAAATAAAACAAAAATTAAGCAGAAAAAAAGTGTGTTGTGTGTAAACAGTTACCTGAGGGGAGAAGAGACGAAAAGAGTGAGAAAAAGAGGAGAGAGAAAGAGAGAAGTTATGAGAGTGATGAACTAAGAAATTTTTGAGAATTTTGAGGGTGAAATTTATTTTTATTTTTATTTTTATTTATAATTATTTAGAATATTTTTGGGAAGAATTAAAAAATTAAAAAGAGTATTCTCAAAAGGAGTGGGGAGATGTGGACTCCTCCTGATTTATTTTTTATTTTTTTTTTCTCTCCAATTTTATTTTTAAATTTATTTTTTGAAATTAATTTTGCTTAGTTACAACTTTCGATTTTGTTGTAGGAGTGACACAGAAAGTCATTGAATCTTATGTCACTTTTTTGCCGAAAACTATTACAACCTCCCTTTTATTTTTGTTTTTCTTGAGCTTAATTTTTACACGTAGTTTACTTTTTTCCACTAATTATATTTTGATTTGTTGTGATTTTACACCTAAGTTTGTTAGTCTTTTTCATCAACAAAATGTTTTCTTTTTTCCTTTCAAATTAAAATGTTACTTTACTCCATTGTCATAATCAGTATATTCGATAGATATTCGAATGTATTACTACGGAATATACACTAGATAAATTAGTATCACACTTAATATTTGCTCATAAATACCAAATTCGTAAATAAGACGGATTAGATTTGGTAAAATACAATTAGATATTGTTCTTCAAAGTTGCTTTACTCTATTAATACATGCTCTGTTAAAATCTGCTCAACTCTGTTCAAAAGCTCAAAAGAACAGAGCCTTATTCGAACAATGGAATTTGTCTAAACTTTTCTATAGTTTATTTGTTTGCTATTTGGAGTAAGTTGTAAACAATACAATTAATGTACCAAGCTACCAATGCAATTCTTGACAACATAGTTAAGTTTATACAAGAGTGATCATTGAAGTGTTAAGTAAATTTGCTTTATTAAATTTTTGTAGTATTACTTTACTATGCATCATCATACATGATAATTGATAGCATGATAGGTGTTAATTAGTTAGTGGATTAGTGCATGATGCATGGGCGTTTAAGTCAGCAAATTTCACCTTACTATGATAATTGATGTGTGTGCTTTATGTTCAATCCATGATTTCATTGAGTAATTTATTTATTTTACTAAGAAAAAAAAACTCTGTTAAATTGACATATCTTAGGAGTCCAACTTCATATATCCAATTCACTAGGATTTAGGGCCTGTTCTCATAAATTGAACTCAGCTGAACTGAACTGAACTGTATTGAATTGAAATGAATATTCTATAAGAAAAAGAAATTAAGAGCTGAACTGAATTGAAAATAAATGTATGAGAACGGGCCCTTAGTAGATAGTTGGGAGAATCTCCACCATTAAAGAGTGCTAGATGATCGAAAATTTAACTCACAAGTATGATTTCATATAAAGCTCTCCATTTGTAACTAAATGGTTTCTAATGTACACTTTTTAATCATTTATGTTTATAGTTAAATATTTGTAAAAATTATGGTTAATATTCATTAGTGAAACGAATTTAACAAGATCCCCACTTAGATATTTTTTATATACATTATTGCCAAAAGAGAAAAAAAAATATATAAAATAAAAAATAGTCATGTAAACCCTAAAAAAGATAATAAAAAGAGCAGAAAAAAGGATAAAAGATGGTTTAAGAATGTAAGTGAAAATGAGGAAATAACCAAAAGGTAACCTTGCCATGAAGAAATCCACATATCCTTATTTACAAGTTCACACAATCTATTCAATTGTCATTAGCTATTCATGTCAGTTTAGCACACAAACACATAATGTGAATCAACACACCACATAAACTCATCTTAAGGTACATGAAAACCATATTTGCATATGACGAGTTGAAATTATTAAATATAAATTACACGTTTTTGACACTGATCGTCATACAATTGATTTGTTATGCTTCATTAAATCTATTAATATATAGGGTTGCATAAATCATTCACAAACCTTGTACGCAAAAGGTAATGTAAGCTAATGAGATATAAATCGACACACATTTGTGCATTGCACAAGCTTGATAGCTACTTACCATGAACAATTAATTAAAACCAGTCAACCCTAAACACGAAACCTATTAAACCCAAACACGTTACTAATTCAACATCCAATATTTTGCCAATATATATCATCAAATTTCATAATTTAATTATATAACCTTATCGCTTGTTCATTAGGAATTGGATATACATTTCATGTTAATCATTAATACCTTCTTAATTTACTAAACTTAATTGTCATCAGATGCTCATTAAAACGACATTTATTGACTGCTTTGGAATCTTTGAACTACTTGCATTAAACTTTATAATAACAATTATCATATTATAATTTTATTTTTGAAGAAATATCGTATTATAATTTTTATATACTTTGATTGCCTTTTAATATACTTTAATTCAAAAAATAGACAAATATGATACTCCAAAACCCATTTTAAGATTTATACCTTTACATTTTCAGAAAGCAACCCACAGATTCTTTGGCGGTTAAAATTTCTTAATTTCCCGCCATTTTTTTTTCTAACTGTCATTTTCATCGCGATTAATCTATGATTTCCAAGTGTCGTCCCCCTTCAATCTACACCGTTCATTTCAAAATTCCGTTAATTTTACCGTTTGTACGATCTTTCTCTAATGCTGGGAATTCAAGACTCGGTGTTTTGATGCCTGAACATGAGTCAACTCGTTCTTTTTGTTCTTTGGCGCTTAAATTGTCTGCAATTTATGGGTATTTTTGTGAAGTGAAGCAGATTCATTCACATGTAATAAAGTTAGGGTTTTATAAAGGGTTGTATATGCAAAATCAAATTTTACATGGTTATGTGAAATGTGGGGAGTTTTGTGATGCTGTCAAACTGTTTGATGAAATGCCTGAGAGAAATGTTGTGTCGTGGAATACGATGATTAGTGGGGTTGTTTTCAGGGTGGGATTGGGGTTTTGTTACTTTAGGAGAATGTTGTTGGAAATGGTGAGACCGGATTCTACTACGATGAATGCCTTGATTCGTTCGAATGTTGTATTGGGTGACCTTGCAATTGGTAGACAGTTGCACGGTTTTGCTAAGAAAATTGGATTGAGTTTGGATTGTTATGTGGGTAGTGCCATTGTTGATCTATATGGAAGATTCGGGTTAGTTAATGATGCGCGATTTGTGTTTGATGAGATGGAGATGAGGGACTTGGTTTCGTGGAATGTGATGGTTTCTGCATACAAAATGAATGGTTTGGTGGAGGAAGCAATCAGGGTTTTTAGATCAATGCAGGTAAAAGGAATTCGAGGGGATGAGTTTACTTTCACTAGTCTTTTGAGTGCTTGTAACTTGGGTGGATGTCGTGAATTATGCAAACAAATTCAGGGACTTGTTATCAAATTATCATTTGATTTGGATCTGCAAGTGGCTACTGCTCTTATTGATATGTATGTGAAGAATGGAAGTGTAAAAGATGCTAGAAAGCTGTTTGATGGGATGGTTTTCCGAAATCTTGTTTCTTGGAACACAATGATTGTAGGTTATGGACAGCAAGGTTATGGTAAGGAGGCTATGAAACTTTTCGCAGAATTGTTCAGGAGAAATATTAAACCAGATGAACTTACTTTAGCTAGCATCGTTAGCTCATGTGGCAATCTAGCAGCCTTTAGTGAAACCACTCAAATACATGCTTATGCTATGAGTCTTGGGTTTGATGGCTATTTATCAGTTGCTAATTCTTTAATAGTCGCATACTCTAACTGTGGCAACCTAGCAAGTGCCTCTCTATGTTTCACTTCCATATCAGAACCAGATTTAATTACTTGGACATCAATTATCAGTGCTCATGCATTTCATGGCCATGCTGAGCAAAGCGTTGAGATCTTTGAGATGATGCTATCAAGTGGTCTAAGGCCGGATAATATATCCTTTCTTGGGATACTTACAGCATGCTGCCATGGTGGTCTCATAAGAGAGGGACTTGATTACTTTAAATTAATGGCCACTGACTATAATATTACACCAAGCTCAGAGCATTATGCTTGTCTTGTCGACCTCCTAGGGCGTGCTGGTCTCATAGAAGAGGCTTCCAGCATTTTGAGCACTAAAACTTTTTCCCTTGAGTTAAACGCACTAGGAGCATTAGTTCGAGCCTTTAAAGCTCATGGATATTTTAAATTAGCAGAATGGGCTGCTGGAAAGCTCTTTGAACTAGAGCCTAGAAACCCTGTAAATTACACTCTTATGTCAAACATGTATGCATCTGTTGGCCAATGGCATGATGCAGCCAGCGTTCGCAAGATGATGAAGCAGAAATGTAATCCTAAATTACCTGGATGTAGTTGGATTTAAAAGTGCAGGAAAGGTTTTCACATCTCTGCTGTTGATACATGAAGTGTACTATGTCTATATGCTTGCCATGTGGAGCCGAGCAGGCTAATGAAATATGATGCAATTGTTGGTCTGCGCTTACGAGACAGGAGTCATCTTTTTATATAATGTTCAGGAAGCAGAAACCAATCGTAATTTCTTGCTTGGGCAGTAAGTCTGGACTCTGAAACTTCTCCAAGATCTAAATGAGAGACCAAAGTGTATTAACGTAGTTTGAGGTATGGACTCATCATAATTTCAAACCTAATTTGTTCTATATCTTATTTCATGTTGATCTTGATTATTTACATCTTCTAAGGAATGAATGATACATACATACATACATACATACATACACAAGATACCTAAAACATGCAAGTTCTTAACATCACTGATAGTTTTACTGACTGAATCACTAGTCCATGACAATATAAATTCTACATAGTGTTGCTTGACTTCTTACATCGACTAGCATCCTAGTTTTTCTATGTCTCATCACCACGTTAGGAAATAGAGTATGGTTTTAAACAGCTGTGCACTTGTGGAAAAATTGTGAATTTCCATATGCTATTATACAAACACAAAGCCAAATAATACAAATATATAGTAAGCCTGTTAAGGTATTAGGCAGGTCCAGTATATTGGTAAAAACTTAGGCCTGCCTTCTCTGAAATCCCTCCCTTACATGACAATATTTACGAAATGCAAAACCCAATATGAATAAACATGTTAGCCACCCAATCTAGCATGCAACTATCAAATTGACAAATAATATTCTTAGAAACAGGTGTAATATTAGTTGAAGCTGGATCATGGAAGAAAGAAAAATGCTTTCATAGTTTTACTATGAAGCACTAACTGATGATCAGTTAGCCATTTAGCCGGACTCTAAAAAACCATCATTTCTGAGATCTATGTTCTGTCATACTAGATTTCTTACTACCTTTGGAGGGGGCTACTCTTCTTTTTTGTCGATGGAGCCGCTTCCTGATACTATCCTATTGACCTATTCATATTATTTTGCCTTTTTCTTATTATTGCGGTCTATGATTGCCTCTATACATGGTTTAATGAGAAAGAGGACATGAATCATCAATGTGTACATGATGTGGACCTCAGAACTAAATGCCAAGGTTTGCTGGGTAATCACATCAAAGTAATTATCTCAACTCAGATCATTACCCATGGAAAGGATCCATGAATTAACAAATGTAAACTTTTTCTATCTTTTTGAGTAGATTGTGAGTCACCCTGCATAACCAACACTGATTTTTAACTGGTAACTAACTTGATGGTATATATCTCTCCCTTTTCTTTACTGTATTTTTACTTGTCGTTGATGCTACTATAATTAGTAAAATAAACGGGTGATAGTATTAGTAAAACATAAGTTATTGTTCTTCTAAATTTTTTTTACAGTTTATTCTTGATTGTTATAATGAGCATGATTGTTACTTTGTTAGTATGAGTTCGTGACCAGTTACTGATTAGAGTATAAATTATGAAAACTGATTTTGATATTGAATACATACTCGAAGTTAATCCTTCGAATAGTCATATAAATAATTTTACACGACATATTTCCTTTTTTGGGATGAGAATAATACATGTATTATGTAGCATAATGTTGCACATTTAATTAATGACCACTATTTCTGATTCATAAACTACTGTCTGTGAATGAACATGCCACCAAACTATGTACGGAACAGTACAAAACCATTATAAAATGGAACTGTAGCAGATCTTTGCTATGCTAACCTTGGAATTTGACATAATCTTGCTTAAGTATGCTTTTTTAGCGCGTTCTTGTTATATGGAGTACTTAATTAATATGAGGGGTTGGTGGTGGGGGTTGGATCTGACAAATGAGCAGCTTGCCAATGAATTATCTGCACAATTTGAAGTTTTGAGAAGGATCTGAAGTGCATTATATGTTATACTTAACGTGTACGGAATATTGATAGAGATGCTAAAAGCCTAAAACATTACTTTAAAAATAATTACTGTATACAGGCAAGAAAACTTGTTTTTTCAGTTCATATTATTGTTTCAGTACAATCCCTTTCTTGGTGGTCCATTTATGTTTTTTCTTTAGTCATCTTTTTAGTCTAGTAATCAGATCAAATCATTACTCTCTATTATTATTAAAAAGAAAATTCAAAAATATATTACAGCACTTTTCGAAAATCTGTTGTATCTTAAAAAGTCTGTTGGACATCCTGAGAATATTTCAGGAATAGTAGTAGGGTTAGTAGTGTTGCCAAAAAAAAAAGTGAGAAAATTATTTCAGAAATATTAGTAGGGTTAGAAGTGTTACAGTAGGGATGCAAATTGCAATAGAGACATTGAAATTATTTTATATCATCAATTACTCATTATTTTTGCCTAAGAAATACTCACTTAATGTGGCAAATGAAAAGTACTAGGTTATTTTACAATGAGATCTTAATTTTGAATGTTCTTATCCTCATGATATTGGCTATAAGGCCGCTTTTATCCAAATAAATAGAAAGATACAAGATAAGATAAAGCGGTAAAATATACGTGGTTTTATTCTTAACACGATAAGATATATGTCATCTTAGCTACTTACACCTAAGTGATTTTAGAGTGAGACTTATATATACTTTGTATATACAGCTGATTCGATCTAGTATATCGAAAACATAGGAAATTATGGTTTCCCTTGGCTTATAATTTATACGGACTGGCATTATACCAGTCTTCTGAGCTAGGCACCAAAATATATACTTCGTATATAATAAAAACAAAAACTCTTAGCTTTGGATCATATTATGATTCTGAAATTTAAGAATTGACAATAAAATTTTCTAGACCATACATTTGTTGTGCATGAATATAGGTGTATGTCCTTTACTGTAATGTTAATGTCTCATTAATTTAAAAATGCTAGCTTAAGTGAGTCACTGGACCCAAACCGTTGAAATATCCAAGTCTTTCTTTCTCTGTTTTTCTCTGTCTCACTCAATCCTCACAAGAAGCAATGTGTACTTGTCTAAGACCCGCCATTATCTACCCCAACCCGATTTCTTCTCTCCCTTTTTCTTTCTTTGGTATTCAACAATAATTCTCAGGTATGAAGAAAATTGGAAGTAGTAAGGAGAGGAGCTCTGAAAAGGCAATAAGACCTGAGGCTCTGTCTCGGCCCTCTGTTTCCGACACCGCCATTGTCTGTTCCAAGAGTCGTCAGAAATCAGGGAATCCTGTTAAGTATGCTGCAAAAGCCGTTGCCGGAGTTATTATTGATTGTTTTACGCCTCCAGAGGATGAAAATCCTTCTAACTATCGAAAACAGCGTAGTTTCCAGCAGTTAAAGTCATCTTCAGGTAATTCTGAACCTTTTCTTTTTTTGCTACTCACTAGTTTACTTACAGTAAGAGGGTCTTGATTAATTTAGCGAATTTGGAATCAATCTTTTGATTAATGAGTTAAGTTTTTATTTTTTTTACACCAATGGAGAAGACAGGAAAATTTACAGTGACATTGAAGATTAGTAGTTGATTCAATGTATCTCTTGATATTATAGTTGAAGATTATGTAGAAAATTCAAATTTTCTGTTCTGAACTCTAAACACTTAATATACTGGTATGGTAGAACTCATTCTCATAATATAAAAATGCTTGCTTTGGTATTTGACAGTGATTGTGTCAGATTCTGATCTATGAAGTTGCTTGATTTTCAGTTTCATCTGGTACGAGTGACAGTGAGAAGAAACATGGTTCAATTCAATCATTCCGTCTAAGTATGGAGGGTGACCTTGGAAATGACAAGTTTACCTTGTCACAAATATACAAGGCAACAAGGAATTTCTCCCCTTCCCTTAGGCTTGGTCAAGGAGGTTTTGGGACTGTGTATAGAGGAACACTGGATGATGGCACCCTTGTTGCTGTGAAACGTGCCAAAAGGGTATGCAGGAAGATCAGAATGTCATTTCGTTCAATCTATATCGTTGTAACTCATGTTCTTTGAGTCTGCATTTTTTTTCCTTGACATGTTTCTGTTTTGCCAGAACGATCATGGTAAACATTTGGGAACAGAATTCCAAACTGAGATCCAAACACTAGCTCAGGTGGACCATTTGAACTTGGTGAGGTGTTATGGATATCTGGAGGAGAATAATGAGAGAATCCTTGTTGTTGAGTATGTTCCTAACGGAACTCTCAGAGAACACTTGGACTGTAAGTCCTCTTTTCCACTTGAGCACTTTTCGTAAGAAAATTCAGAGCTCAATAGCGTATAATGCAATACTGAATTATTAATGCAGGTATGCGCGGTGAGGTTTTAAGTATGGCTACAAGACTTGACATTGCAATTGATGTTGCTCATGCTATTACTTATCTTCACATGTACACAGGTATAAATATCCCTACTGTTTTATTCTTAAAAAGAGGAAAAAGGAAGTATGATACGAGCAAGTATTTGTAGCTCTTGAGTATGAATATCTGGTTTACTTGATTAAAACTTTAAATTTGGTTGCAGATAATCCTATTATTCATAGGGATATCAAATCTTCAAACATTCTTCTGACAGAACGTTGTAGAGCAAAGGTGGCCGACTTTGGCTTTGCCCGGCTAGCAGCAGACAGAGACTCCGGTTGCACTCACGTGTCTACTCAAGTTAAAGGCACTGCTGGGTACTTAGACCCAGAATACCTTCAGACCTACCAACTCACTGAGAAGAGCGATGTATATTCCTTTGGTGTATTGTTGGTGGAACTGATGACCGGAAGGCGTCCTATTGAAAATAAACGCATGATGAAAGAGCGGATTACATCAAGATGGGTATGCCTTAATCTCCTCTGCTTGTTTTATTTTGGATTTCATGACTCTTAAGACTTCATTTAATAAGGAAAAATAAGTTCATTTACGTGTTTTGAATATTGGATGAGCTAAACTGCAAAAGTGTCATGCAATTGTTCAGTTTTGAAGCCCTCCCTACTAGTCCTTACCTAAGAAACTTTCAACTTTGTTTGTAGGGTTATATCACATTGGGTTTCCCTTGCTTTAGTTTTAAAAGAGGAGCAAAAATTTGCATTTTTTATAAAATTTACTCTGTTGATTGATAATGTGTGAGTGTAGGCCATAATGAAGTTCACAGAAGGAGATGCAAGATCAACGCTTGATCCGAAACTAGAAGCAACCACATCAAATATCACTGCATTAGAAAAGATTCTTGAACTGGCCTTAATATGTCTAGCTCCACAACGTAAGAATCGGCCAATTATGCTGAGATGCGCAGAGATACTCTGGAGCATACGCAAGGACTTCAGAGAGCTATCAGCTTCAGACGCCTGCTCTCTCTCTCCCAGCATGCGCAGAAGTGACTCAGTAGGAGAAGTCATACTTGCAACAATATGACAAGCTACTTTATTCTTAGAATTTTAAGCACATATTTTTGCCCCTGCAAATATTTTTGGTTGTTTATGAAAGATATGTACATCAGTGTATAAAACAGAAAAGATGAATTTCATAAACGAGCTGTATTGATACTTACACCATTTAAGTGTTAGTTACATGAGATTCAAAGGATAAAACCATTCTTTTTTCAACCTAGAAATGTACATGAGCAACTAGAGAAAGACAACTACCATTACAAAGAGAAAATCTTTGATTTTCCCTTGAATAAATACAGAGTTTCCATCCTTCAGTGTGATCAATGTACTATATCAATGATATTGTATTTAATCCCACATTATGTATAAGTGCACTCTATATAGTCTACCCACATTGATACTGAAGATCTATCTCAGAAACAGGTACGATAATGTAGAAATCTTTTCTCAGTAGAGACCTCTATTCCTTTTAATGTGCCACGTATCTACTATCTACATGAAAGATGGAGCATATCACCCAATCTGTTCAGCTCACTCATAGTCTTTCTAGTAATACCATAATTAACAGCTATACTCTAATCAGCTCCACGGGAACCTGACTCCTGTCGAGTTAATTGGTAGTTTTCAATTTGTGGTCTCCGGTTCTCAGTATTGGTTGCTCTAGGTGTAACCTTTGAGCAAAGAAAGAGAAAAGAAGATGTATATATGCTCACATGCCATAAACTGTAACCCGAAAAAAAAAAATCAGATCAGTTGCCTTCAAAAAGGGTTGAAATTACATTAGCCTTCTTAGTGACTCATATGGAGATTGATAGCATCATAAAGATTACCTATGCCAAATCCAATAATTCTGATAGTTTTCAAGGCTCCAGCTTACAGCAGCCATTGTCAGTGCAACAAAACCAGCCACCAAAAAACCCCAATGAAAACGCTTCAAGAGCATCTTGACAAAATTCTGAAGTGATGTTTTTATGCCGTGCCAACTGAAAAGAAAAAGGCATTAGATTGTACTAGTCAAATATTATATTGCATGACACAGCAAAAATGCTGTTCAACAATTGTATGTATATCCCAGTCCAACAATTGATCAATTTGCAACAATAGTTGTATAGTTATCACCTGTAAAATTCACTCAAACAAAATCCAGCAGGAAATGAAATTGATCTGAGTTTAGTGGATAGCTCAATGAGCCAACCAATAAACAAAAAAGTGGCCCCAATGGCAATTACCAGAACCAAGTTCGAAGACCTGCAGGGATCATCAATTCAGCACAGTTAGTGGGGGAAAAAACTTAAAAGTTCAAGTTTTGCATCAAACTGTACATTTACCTGGTCGCCCCAGTTATGGCCATTAAAGCTGTAACAATTGAAACAACAGCGTGGATAGTCCTTCTCGAAGTTTCAGTGATATCAGCCAAATACACAAATGTGTTCACCACCGCCATAAAAGACAGCCAAAAATCCATGAACTGCATATAGCATGAGGAAATAGTAGTAGTTTAAACAGTTAGGAATATAAAACTAAAAAACATGCATCTAATATGTGCATAACTGCAGGATCACACACGACTGATGCTAAAACCAACTAGACCAGATAGCAAAAGATTGGTACATAAAGACAAATTATACAGAGGGTAAGTCTTAGAATGCGACCGTATAATAAATAATTTATTGAGACTCTAAGAGCCTCCCTTGAAAAAGCAAGAAATCACCTTAATAATAGAAAGATTGATCCCAATAGGACAACAAAACCAAAGACTTATTCAGAAAGGATGGGATCAGTTACATGGAGATCATTTCTACCAACACTGACAAGACCGTTTAATTAGGCCCAAGAATTTATCTTATATGATCATTCACAAAGATCAAATGAGTGCCCCAATATCACAAGTTAATAAGTTATTGCAAAGCCGTCCCAGATATGCTTCATGTCAACATGAGAATTTGATACAAACTACACTAAATAGAGGATAAACAATACCTGTAACACACGAAATGTCAGTGCACACCAGGTACCCACATCACAAGCATGATAAAGTCCACTTGAAATTCCACTCGATGTATAAATAACCCACTCTGCATAAGCCTGCACCAAAAATTTTCCAGTGGATAAGGACCAGAGAGTCCCAGAGACCCAAACGACATCTAGCAAGACACTTGTACACAATGAAAATATGATGTAGAATACAACGGAAAGGTCTGCAACCACCTCTTGAAAAGGATCAGTTTATGTATCTTTAGATTTGCAGGTTCAAGTAAATAAATGTTTATCAAACTCGTTTTTTACCTTATTTCGAAGAGCCCAATATGCAGGAAGAACAGCAGCAACATTAGATGCAACAAGTGAAATTGACTGCCACATGTGCCCTGCATCACTTTTAGTTGCATAAATTAAAATTTTCCTTTGATGAGAGCTAAAATTTTTAAGGAGGAAGAGTATAAAGTATCATTGTGAGTTACTTTCATCACAGAAGAATTACAAGCAAGAATAAAGCTTTTTCCGACATGAAGTAAAAATCAAATCAGGCATCCAGTCACTAGTCAGCAAATTAGATCGATTATGACAAAAGGAACTACATAGTAGATACTGTCTCAACAAAATTACCCTATGTTCTATGCATGCTATATGTGGCTGATATGAAGGCCAATGCATATAGATCGAGACTAGATTCCCTTCTAATTTAACATCATGATTCATGAGCATGAAGAAAACCTTCAGCTTACATGTTTCATAAGACACAAGCAAACAAAATGTATATGTCAAGTAGTTGCACCAAAATGACAGCAGGTAAAGCATGTTATAATCAATAAACATACCTCGACGAGAAATAATTTCTGTACTGCAATCAATGCCCCCATGGGTCCGGTCACAAGCACAGTAGCTGAGGAGTGACATTATACAATAAATAGAATCAATGGTGAATAACATCATAATGAGAACCTAAATTAACTTTCATATATATAAGTAGAGATATTGAGTGGCTGAGCCAACAGAAATGGCAACTAAAACACTACACCTGTATACCGTCAAGCCACTTTCATCCACAAAATTTTGACACGCTCCATGAGGGGTAGAGCATTTCTTGGGACATCTTTCAAGAGAAACAGAAATCATAGTCTTCTCTAAGGATGGACTATTAATGGAATTTAGACGCTTTAAGCCAAAAGTCCAGGTTCCTTCCCTAGCATATAAGACATAGAAATCGACCAACTCTTTGCTAGAATTATATAGAAGGAAAAACATAGAATCATCGCTGCTGTTAATATGGTTTATGTAGTAAAAATCCCATATATCAGCAGATGGAAGCCCCCCATATCTCACATAAATTTCATAACCAGCTTTCTCTTCTGATGTTAGTCTGAAGTGCAAATTTAATCCAGCTGCACCAAGAGGAATGTCAAGAACAAAGTATGTCCAAGTGATATTTCCCAGTGTTGAATTACTGATAAGGGGTGCAAGAGGAAAGTTGGCTGAATTAGAAGACGCGATACCATTCAGGGGTACATAATAAGATTCAAAGGGAACGGATGGATTCTTCCTCAGAACTGTCTGCAGCAAACCCAAATTTGATGCATCAATAAGTTATTCTTTCATGTGAGCTTGCTTACATAAGTCAGCAGGAGAAGTAACCAAAAAAAAAGCTCAGAGCCACAGTATGAAACAAGTATGAGACAGTAGCTAAATAAAGAGAATATGCAACTATAATGACTATATACACAACATCTGTATAATATATATATATATATATATATATATAAAATTAAAAAAATTTTAAAAAAAAGGTGTCCTTTGAAGCAAAGCACTGCTACTGAAATTAAAATAGCATACCTCATTATAAGAGGACATGCAATTACAATAATATTAATTCCATCTATGTGATTAAAACACCAGCTATGAAGTGGGAATAGCAAGAATACAACCAGTTAAGAGTCATATGACTGTTTACAACAGTTGTGAGAGAAATTTTTCCCATCTCAGCCTGTTGTCTCCTAACTTGGACTACTGTTGACACAAATAGCTTTTACACACTAGCACATTTGTTAACCTCACTCTCACAAAGAAAGCATATACTACTAAAGGATAGAATATTCACATATAACCAATAGAGCATACTGCACAGAAATGATCAAACATAATCTAACCTGAAGCGTGTAAATATCTGAAGTACAGTTGAATCCAGCTTTTCCCAAAGGACATTCAGACACCTCCCATGATAGGGAATAGCAAACTCTCGTGCCACTCTCTTGAACCGCATCTAATCCATTAGTCAGATTAATAAGGGCAATAGTGATGAACCAGCGACCTACCTTTGGTGATGGGACAATTAAAGAGCCTTTACTAATGTCACCAGAGAAATCATGCATGGTAGCAAGAGCAATAGTGCCATAGCGAGCATAACACATAATAGCAACTTTCCCAGCTTTATCTGCATTGTTGAATGATGATGTTCTATTTAATTTGACGACTGTGGCTGAAATGGTTAGGCTCTCTACCATTCCAATTATTTCCAAGGAGTAGACTCTGGTTTCATTATCCCCAAGGCAAGAATTTCCAACAGGATCTCTACAGGAAACCACATCTTTTGTAGTCCCATCATTTAAGTCAGCAGCAGATACATTTGGTATAGCATAATCAGGATATGCTTGAGAGCATGAAAGTGCTTTGATACTCTGGTTGCAGAACTGGCCCCACAAGTTTGATGCTATACATCCTTCCACACTCACATTGGCAGAAAAGGAATATGAACTTCCTCTACTAATCTGCACAGCACATCCCAAACCAGAGAATTACCAATAGATTTCCAGGAGTTTTTGTTTCATATATTATTAATTGCAATGAGCACAATATCACTTAAGAAGACATAAACAGAAAACTATGACACTGTCATTGGGACAACATTCTCGAGCAATGGTTGCATAATTTGAGATTTTGAAATACACAGGTCTCCATAGTACATTTTACAGGCGAACCATGTATCGTATGTAGTTAAGTATAAAATCCACATTTTCTATCCATCTCCAGAATCCAGTCTTCATTGCTATTAAACATAATCTAATTTCACTATTTCAGCAGTGATTCTAATCTGTATTAATAATGTTAAGGAGAACTATGTAAGCTAAGCTTCTGCTATGTGCTCATATCCTATTCCCAAAGGCAAGTCCTTTTTCAACTGGCAGGATTGCAATCTGCCACTGAAATCAAGCATGTTTCGCCATGCCAAAATCAGCTGAAATAAAGACGATCTGGATCCATCCCCCTCTCCCCACCCACACACATAGCAAACTAATACATATTGTTAACCCAATAAGTTTTACAATGATATTTTACGTTTTAACCTAAAAAGATACAGCATGCAAGAATGAACGAATCACATCTATAATTAGTCCAAAATCAGTAATGTCCAACAGTTAAAACAAGACCTAAAAGAAAGCAGTGAAAAAAGAAAAAAAAAAAAAAAAACTCCAGCAATAGCGTAGGATAAATTAAACAAGGTTTAGAGCACAAATGATGTATAGTTTACCATCTTTGATTGTGTCCTCATAGCTCCAACACCATTGAAAAGGCCAACATACCAGACACCAGGGGTTATCTGCAAAAATCACTTGAAAGTCAGACCATTGAAGAAATATATATTTCAATGTCACAAGGCGGCTACCAATTTACATCAGCACTAAAAATATTAGGGACCTGTTCATTTGTCCAATTCAAAATTATCCTCTTTTCCAAAGGGTAGCAAAGCTCAACATTTTGTACACTTTCAATGAGTCCAACTGATCCATTAGAAAGTGATCCTAAAACTGCACCATTAAAAGATCACACTTTTCAAAAGGATGAAGAAAATGATATATGTTAGCTCAAAACAAAAGCATAAATAGCTCATTTATGACCGAAATATAAAATAAGAAATCAAAAAACAGACAATAAAGACTATCACCTAAATGATTCAAAGCCTTTTTTGAGGAATCGGGTAGAGGGGGACTTCCAGATCTGAAGCAAATGAGTGGCAGCGTGCTTTTGGAAATTTTTTCCACACTTCCATGACCCTGGTACAAAATTTAAGTCAAAGAAATGTAAAATATAGTGCACAATCCAAATTGACCAACTGAATTCCACGAAATAATAACCCTACCAAAGGCTAATTGCTTGCTCATTTTGAGCTCTTGATGATGAGCATATGAGGAGACAAATGGCCTCATATACCTACTCACTCATACTGTCATAGTTAGAAGTTTATGCTAGGTAATGTGCCTACCTATAGAAGTGGCATTAAAATTTTCAAATTTAATAAATTAAAGGATCATTTTTTTTTTTGACAGCAAAAAGGATAAATTCTTTATGACAGTAATCTGAAGCAAAATTTCCAAAGGGTATCCCCTAAGAGACGAGAATGCGAGCTTGCGTCAGAGCAGACTTACTAATCGTACTTACAAGGTTGACATCTGACTCTAGTCCTATAGACACTGAAGAGAACCATGGCGGCAAATCAACTGCAAGAACGATTACAATTCAATTACTGAATATTAGTCTATTAGATGCTTACTTCTACAATATAATCCACAAATTAATGAACTCTACTAATACTGTAGAAAATAATTTCTTCAACAAACTGAGAGATCATTTAAGCATAAAAAATAATCAAGAACCATAATAACCTCAGCAAAAATCTCTAAATACAGAAAGCTGATAACAATTAACAATAAAGTTTTTGATTTAAATTACAATCCCAACACTTTAAATTATAAAATCATCGTTCCCTTAAAAATTATAAATTTCTACCTAACAATCAATACTAAAAAGAATACTAAAAAGAATACTTTACAAAATACACAACACTCAACAGAAATAATAACTTAACCAATAATTAAACATGAAATATTACAGAACAAACAGCACCCAATAAAGAAATGACAACTATAATGGCTCTAAATTCACACAATCAATAATTAAACAACCAAATTGCATGAAAAAATTAAAACTTTAAAAAGGGTATCCAAAAATCAGAAGAACTAACCTCTAATATAACGCCATTCATAAGGTTTAAGCTTAGTTTGTGGGTAATTAAAGCTGGAAATAGTGAAAGAATTGTGCGGAATTTGGTCCGCAGATGAATAATCAAAGAAACCCAGAAAAAATACAAAACATAAATTCAGAAAATAATGAATTTTCTCCATTTTTCATTGAACTCTGCTCTACAATCAAAAGGGTTTGGGGGAGATTTGTATAAGGGCATTTAGTGAGCTTGTTGCTCATCAATTAATGAAATAAATAAAGTGTGATCGATGTTAATTTGTTGAGAGTAAAATAAAGCACTTTTTCTTATTATTTAACTTTAAATTTTTGTGAGTTGGTTGAATTTTCTATGGGAAAAAAGGAGACCAAAATAAGACGACGAAGAAATGAGGTGGGTTGACCCGGTTTTTCTATTGTTGACGGCTTCGCGCTGGAGAAGGTGACATCATTTTGAGGTTTTTATTTATTTATTTATTTATTTATTTATTTATTTTGAGCAGTTTGTAGTAACATTATTTGAGTTTGGAGATGATGAAAAAAGTGGTGTTTTATGGCAGTAATTCCAAAATTATGAATTTTTTCAATATTTACCCTAGAAAATTGTAACAATAAACCTTTAATTTTTGCAAAAACTAAAGTAAAAACTAAAGCTTCGTGGTAGTTTTCTGTTTTTTATTTTTCAAAATCATATGATACATGTCATATAATGAATTAAAAAATAGTCAAACTTATTAATACCATGATATTTTTAATAACTAACAAAAGAAAAAAGAGGGTGTTAAATACCGCCATCCAAAATGATCAAAACCGCCAACATTTAGTGTGAATTGACAGCCATACCCTTATTACGTCACCACTATCTTCCCTCTTGTCACCAATCATTAACACCTTGACACCACCACCCCAATTGACGACTAACACCACCACCACACTGATCGGCGACGATGACCACCACCACAACCACCCTGACCGGCGACCCACCACATCCCCCTCAAAGATGACCCACCACCTTCCCTCTTTGGTGGAAAGGTGGTGGTTTTTTTTTTTCTGACAACCGTACCAACCGAAGCTCAAAACCGGTTACCGGACACGATAACCGTTTTTGGGCTCCGGTTACCATGGAATCGTTTAAGGTGCAGGGTAACCTCCATGATAACCGGAGCCCAAAACCGGTTACCATGTGTGGTAACCGGAGCCCAAAACCGGTTACCGTGCGCGATAACCGAAGCCCAAAACCGGTTACCATGCGCGATAACCGGTTTTGGGCTCTAGTTACTGCGGTTTTTTGAAATAAAAAAAAAATATATATTAAACTACCACCTTCTCGTCGGCGAGGGAAGGTCATGGGTCGTCATAGAGGAGGGTATGGTGGGTCGTCGATTAGGGTGGTGGTGATCATCGCCGATCGGAAGGGGTTGTGGGTCGCCGAGAGGATAAGGGGTGGTGAAGTAATAAGGGTACGATTGTCCATTCACATCGAATGTTGACGGTAGTGATCATTTTTGTTGGCGGTGTTTAGCAATTCACAAGAAAAATGGAAACACCTTTTTCTTGTTTCCTATTTTTTGTTTTTTGTTTTAAAAAAACTAAAAATTGAAAAGAAAAAACGATGTTAAACAAGCCCTAAAGTACTAAGTGATAGGTTAAAAAACATTAGGTTAATTTGAGAGATACAACAAGATTTTGATTGTGATACAAAATGTATTTGGGTAGAACCATTGGCAAAACTCAACTAACTCATCAAGTCATCCTTATAAATTTGACTTATTTGACAAATAATAAATTTAGATAGTATAATTCAATAAAGTTTAATTTAAGTTTTGACATAATCACATTTTATTTTATTTTTTGAACGGGACATTATCACATATTTGACAATTTCTTGAACTCGGAAAATCTTTTTTTTTTTTTTTTTTTTTTTTGTGACAAAGAATTTTTGTAATTTCTTATAAATGAGTTTTTGTAATTCAGGATGGAGGAAAAGTCAAAAAATGGTTAGAAAGAAAAAAAAAATGTGTCTACTCTCCTCAAGTTTGAACCAACTAACCAAATTATGTCAAATAGAGCAAACTCTTGTTGGGAAAAAAGATAATTTGATATGTGGTTCTCATAATCTCATAATGATGAGAACAAAATTTTGACATAAATTTATGTTTTACTCCATTATACGGAGTAAATTGTAAAGAGGTCCAAAAAAATATAGAAAAGGGATTGTCACTTTCAATTAATTCTTTTATTTTACTGCAAGAAACTGAGAAATATCAATACGAACCTTTAAAAATTTCATCTTTGTCTATGCTCAAAGGTATGACACTGAACAACATTACACTGGTGACAATGTGACATGGTATAAGGTGGAACAACATCATGAATTATATATGACTCGAGTAACATTTTGAAATGCCAAGATTCGAACTAATTTGAAACCGAAAACAGAGCATAGCATAAGATCAAGCAAATTCAAACAAGCAACCTCGAAACAAGTTTACAACCACAACCCGTAAATCACTAAGAAAAACCCTAATTCTAAGAACTTCTACGTGAACCATAATTTACTCCTGAAGTATGCACATGAGTTAAAGCTAAGACTAAGTTATTCACTTATTCTCAGTATTTAATCCTTCAGTAAACTCAAACCTATAATGAATATACAAGTGTACGCATTTTTATACCATAGAAAGGAGATGATATATACTATGTGCATGGCATCATCATGCATTGTGTATAATAGAAAAGCTGGTGGTACGAGTAGTCGAGTATGAACATCTAATAGCATCGAACTCACTTCAGCGCACTGCATTCAGATGTCAGATTCGTCAGCTACAGCTAAATATAAAGAACATACAATATCTGTAGATACTACCAATCTCATCAACCAGTCCAGCCAATGAATATGTTCATTAAAGTTTGCATGTCGCAATCTAAGGATAAACATGGTACTCTGCCTCTGATTTTACAAAACAAGTTTCATACAAAAACTAGAACACATATCTTTCTTTTCATATTGAAAATTTAGGAAGAAATGGAGATATTATGGTAAGAAAAGTAAAATCATGCACATTGTCATGAACATTTTATACAAACAACATACATACTTCGAATTTAATATCATTAACGTCACCTCCAATCAGACATGCGTACTTAAAATATTCTCTTATTCTTCCAATAATGTGGGGTAGGAAATTTAGCAATTGCAACTTGCAACAAAATATACGTGTGACAAGAGGAAGAGATTTCACTTCTATATCACCAAGGCATAATCCTGTCCACCGAGCATTGCCTAGACCCCAATGATGCATAATGGGGGCCAATTGATGTAAAGGGAAAATCATTCCAAAAAAAACTCAAACCCGGATGTAGAGAAAAGGATACCTCAAATAAAGATATCAGAGCCCATAAATTAGCACTATTTAAAAATCCCCCCCTCCCTATAAAATTGGTGCATATATATGTCACATTGTCAAAACTCAAAACCATCATAGAAAAATAAGGGATAAGACATGGAATAAGACAATGTTACTTCAACGGAATTTATTGAAAAGTTAAAAGAGAAGACAATCATAAGCCCCACCAAAGCAAAAGCCAACACCTAAACTTATCCATCTCCAACACCTTAAGGACAACATATTCTGCCATCTAAATTCGTTTTCCCTCCTTATTCTCGAACAAAGAATTATCAACTTACAGCAAAAGCAACCACTTGAAAGAAGATTTAGGAAGAGGTGGTTACTCATATTCAATTAAGTGGGTTTGTTTTTATTATTTAAAATATCACAAGTGAGCACACTATTAAATCACAGAGATTATTACAAATGTAGAAGTTAGTCAGACTCAGAATCATTACTCCAAAGGATCCAAAATTAGAACAAGGGACAACTTTTGTCAGCAAAATGTGAAATTCGCTAGTAATAAAGTGGTCTAATTAAATATCGAAATTTTTTCTTCTTACTGATCAGGTAAACTATTCCACTCCATTTCTTCCCTTTCCCTACCCACTACTCCACTCTTCTCCCATGTGCACTATGCATTAAGCCTTCCAAGGCTGTTTCGTACAGGAGCAATACTTGACCATACTATATTTAAGAACAATGCGATTCGAACAATTATGAAACCGACAACATGATAAGCAACAAAAGTTCTAAATCAAGATAAGAGAGGAACTCACTTATACAAGTAGGCTGCTATTCCCAAAATTATACACAAGAGTATGATGTCGAGGCAGAAGTTGCGACTGGACCTCAGCTGATGATGATCATAAACAGATAAATAAATAAATACATAATTATCGAAAGTATACTTACTATTCATCAAATTTACGGATGACACGAGACATAGTTTAACTTCTAGAACGACTGAAGTACTGAACCCACCAAACATGCCCACAATAGGCAGCCAACATACCTGGGTCAGAGTGTCCTTGAGTCTCACATTGGTATTTTTGAGGTCAGATGTTGCTCTGTCAGCCTAGAATAAAGCCAAAAACAGGACCATAATTAATACAAAGTATAACATTGAGAAACATGAGCAAAGCAAAAGAACATAGAAGTCCAAACATCTATATACTGCAACAGTAATTGAAAATGAGATCATAATTATAGCAAGAAGCGATGTGCAACAGGCTAAGATATTAGATTATTAGAGAACACATAGCATAACTACACAAGGCACGTATGATGTTATAATTCACCATTCACTGCATCAACTGGATACTAACTATCACGTTAATTTTTTATTTTTTTTTTAAGACTAGGTCAGTGGTAAACCTAATAAAGAACATCAGAATACAAGAAACTATTCTGATTCAAAAGAATTGGGATAGAATGAAGTCTGAAGGCATCAAACATTTACCTTCTTATCCATTTCATCCATAAGTGGCTCTTGTCTATCCATTTCCTGCACATTACATAACTCAATTTACTTCTAGTTTCTGATTATTTTAAAGGTCTCAACGAATTATATCGCCAGCAAACCTCATTCATAGCTTGGGCCATATCTTTCAGAGTGTCCAGTCCTTCAGCAATATAATCTAAACCTTCATCCTGTAAAAACTAGAAAAGTTATCAAACAAAGAATCTGTGGATACGCATACATTATCCAAATCATCAGGAAAGTCATAACTACAACCACATAAGATTTACAAACTGTAATACTGTATTGAAAAATAGTGATCCACAAGAAATATTTCAATATTTCATCCTACCATTAGCACAGCACTGTAACTATAATCTACAATTCGAGCTATCTATCAGAAACATATCTAGACAGCCAGTCTACAACCCTGGATTAATAACACATCTATTTGGAGAACATAATCCCCCCCCCCCTCCTCTCAACCCACACAAACATATTTCTTACTGACCTCGTTCCCCCCATGGGACCCCATCATATCACATCAGTTCCAAATAATATCATTGGCTCCCTAAACAAACAAAAGAATCTAACACATAAGAGCACAAGTTTGGAAGCGGATACTTGAATCATCAAGAGTGGGGGGAATGCGATGGTATCTTTAATAAAGATCAGCAGAAGGTAAGACTTGCCTGCTTCATTTTCCGCATTTCATACTCCTGCTGAAACTTAGAAGGCTCCTCACTTTGTTCAAAATACCCAGCACGAGTCCAAGCCTCTACACCAATTTAGCAAAAGCGTCAGCACAATCATAACACTGGAAATATCTACTGTTATAATTTAAGTGTCGTATCACACCATTTCTATCTATAAAGTTAAAGCTTACAAACTTGAAAAAGAAACAAAACCGTATAACTATTATAGGGGCACCCTGGAAGTTATAATTCCCGATCATAAAGGAAACAACCCCCGTAGTAATCTTTAGCAAAACAGCTTCAGCTACATACATGATTAGATGACTACCTGAATGAGTGTCTATTTTAATAGCTGTCATTGAAGTCGAAGCAGTCCATCCACCAGTTTGCTTGGGTACAACTTGAGTGCCATCCGGTATTGACTCAATCCTCTCTTTCAGAGCAGACACTAAATCATTACGAGCTTCAAGCTCCTCCCTCGAAAGTCCTTTCACCTATAAATCATCATCTAAACTAATGAAAAAAAAAACAAACTAACACCACATAAGTAAAAAAAAAAATAGCAACCACCCCACTGCTTCATCAATTCCAAAATACTCTCTTATATTGCCTTTTCTTTTATATTTTCAACAAGTTCCATACTAAGATCTACTACAAGTCTACAACTCTACAAGTATACTCATTTTACATGACCAAAATAATAAGCCATGTTACTCGCACAAAATAGCCAAGTTAGACACTTGGACACACATTATGTCGGACACAAGTACCTGACTCGGAGTAACAATAAACAAAAAAAACTCGTAATTCAATCGTGAAAAGTATTGCAACAACCTTAAATTGTTTAAAACAAGTTGTCACTCACAAATCACAATTACCCACTACTTACAAAATAATCTGAACCAACTTGAGTCTTAGTAATTTTTATAATCTTGTGGTAAATATCAGTAAACTCAAACCAAACCTTATGCTACAATAATTCGATCAATTTACAACAGATCATCCGTTTGATTAACTGAAAAAATTAAACTTTTTCTGTAATTTGATACATAGTTTCTAAAAAAGGTTTAATTTCCCGAAAGTTTGTATCTTTGTATAATTCCTTCAATTTAATTTTTGGCCCTTTCTTAGTACAACTAATTATCTTTAAACCATATCAAAAACAAATCAATAATACAAACAAAACAAATCAATCATGAAAAAAAATAATAATAAAATAACAGAGGAAGAAGGAAATGATTGCGGAATTCATGGGTAGTCAAAATTAGGTCAAAGGAGAGAGAAAACAAACCTTTTTATAAGCTAACTTGTGTAATTTGGGAAGTTCCTCAAGCAAACGAGCCTTAATCCGTCTAACTTCGGCAAAAAGAGCGACAGCAGAAGCCCTATTTTTCTCGGAAGAAGCGGCGTCGGATTTTCCGACGGCAGTGTCGATATTTGACTGAAATTCGGAGTAAAAACGAGCGAAAGCATCTTCGCCGGAAACATCGAATTCGCGGCGTTTGTCGACGTCGTACTTGTCGTACTTGTTGCAAATGGCGTCTACTCTTGTTATTATGTCTACTAAACTCATTTTAATTGGGATTTTGAAGAGAGAGAATTTGGAGAAATGAAAGAAACAAATGTTTTAAGGAATTTATGTAAGAATAAAAAAATGTAAATAAATTAGGAGTTAGTAATAAATAGTTTTGATTAGTGCAAAGTTTAACAAGTGTCGGGGTTAGGGACAGTTTTGTTGTGTTGATGATGATACTCCATACACTCCAATACTCCATCATACTATTGATACTATATTACTATTGTATGTTGTCTTTTTAACTTGGGTTAGTTGGTATGGATGTGATTGAAAAAGTCCTTGATATTCTAAATAATAATGGTGATGTAGGTTCTATTAAAAAAACTCATATTGTTTTAATTTCGAAAAAAAGAAAGAGTGTGAGTCTCTTGTTGATTTTAGACCTATTAGTTTGTGTAATGATATGTATAAGATAGTCACCAAAGTTCTAGCTAATAGATTGAAGCTAGTTCTTCCTTATATTATTCATGAGTCGCAGAGTGGTTTTGTCCCTGGGAGGTTAATCACTGATAATGTGCTGGTTGCGTATGAATGCTTTCATTATTCGAGGAAGAAAAAAACAGGAAAAAAAGGTTTTTTAGGTCTCAAACTTGATATGAGCAAGGCCTATGACAGGGTTGAATGGGTGTTTTTGGAGAAAATGATCGATGTTGAAATTGGGGTTGCCAGATAATTTTGTTCGGTTGATTATGAATTATGTGAGTTCTGCAGAGTTCGATATTCTAGTGAATGGACAGCCGTCAAGATGTTTTAAGCCTAGTAGGGGGCTCAGACAAGGTGACCCTCTATCACCTTTCCTTTTCATCATGTGTGCGAAAGGTTTGTCGACTCTCCTTCGAGATGCCGAGAGTAAGCAGTTGATCCATGGTAAGATTGGTAGGCATGTCAACCCCATTACTCACTTATTTTTTGCGGATGATAGTCTTTTATTTGTGAGAGCGACAGAAGAGGAAGTGGATAATGTGCTTAATATTCTTTCTACATATGAAGTGGCTTCGGGGCAGAAACTTAATATGGACAAGTCGGAAGTGTCTTTTAGCCGAAACATGGAGCAAGAACGGAAAAATATGCTTCAGATGAAGTTATCTTTTAAGGTTGTCTAAGGACATGACAAGTATCTTGGGTTACCGACTTATATTGGTAGTTCAAAGAAGCAAGTGTTCCAAAATACTCAGGATCGTGTCTGGAAAAAACTAAAAGGGTGGAAAGAGCATTTTCTTTCACAAGCAGGTAGGGAAGTGCTAATTAAATCAATTGCACAGGCTATTCCAACATATGCTATGCAATGTTTCCTCATTCCGATGAGCATTTTGAATGCAATTGAAAAATTGTATCGACAATTTTTTTGGGGGCAAAAGGCGGAAGAAAGGAAAATGTGTTGGATTGCATGGGAAAAGTTGTATATTTTCAAGAAGGAAGGGGGTCTTGGCTTTCGAAACATGAAGAATTTTAACAAGGCTCTCTTAGCTAAGCAAGCATGGCGGATTATTTCTAATGAAAACTCTTTTGCGGCAAGGGTGTTGAAAGGAAAGTATTTTCCCCATTCTGATTTTTTCAACGCCAAGGTATCTCCTAATTCCAGCTATACGTGGAGATCAATCTTGGGTGCTAGGGATTTACTTGAGAAGGGTGTTACAAAATCTGTCGGCAATGGAGCCTCAGTCCGTATTTGGTATGACCCGTGGGTGCCAAATCTTCCTGCTTTTAAGGTAATTTCGACCCAACCCCCGAGTGTTGATGTGCCTTATTATGTTCGTGACCTATGGGTTGATAACTCATGGAATTATCAGTTGCTCCTTGATCATTTCAATGCTGTGGAGATGCAGGAAATATGTAATTTGCCAATCCCTATTCATGCTAGAGCCGACTCATGGATGTGGCATTACACTAAAGACGGACAATACTCTGTGAGAAGTGCATATAATCTGATCACTCTGGAACAGAAAAATGAGAAGCCTTCCACTTCGGCTTCAAATTGCAGTTTCGACTGGAATGTGGTGTGGAATGCTGAGTTGCCACCCAAGATTAAGAATTTTGCGTGGAGGGCTGTGAAAGGGGCAGTTGGTGCTCGTGAAACACTGGTGAGAAGAGGTATGCAGCTTGATCCAATTTGTCCTGTGTGTGGGGAAGAAAGTGAGAGTGTGCTGCATATGCTTGCTTTTTGTAAAGAGGCGAGGCTTCTTTGGTACTTGTCCTCGCTGCGACTGGAGGTTGGTAATTTTGTTGGGGATACGTTTGGTGATTGGTGTGTGTCTGTGCGTGAGAAACATAAAGACTCGCTATGGTGGAATGTCTTTTGGAGCTTAGTATGGGGAATTTGGCTTAGGAGGAACGCATGGTGTTTTGATGGATGGAAAAAGGAAGGTAATGAGGTAATTCGTAAGGCTGTTGGCTTGATTGGGGACTTTGAAAGTGCTCAAGGAACCTGTTGGTGAATGTTGCTCAACCGAGACAGAATGTCAAGTGGTGCGCACCAATGCAAGGGGTGATCAAGATCAACTCTGATGCTTCCGTCCCAAAGTCGAGCAATGTGGGATTGGGGGGAATTATGCGTGATGCTTTGGGTGAAGTTGTGGCTGCTATGTGCTTGCGGGTAGATGGTCAGTTTGGGGCTGATATTGCTGAAGCTCTTGCGATGAGACATGCTCTATGTATTGCTATAGAGTCGGGGTTTCGCAGAGTATGTGTGGAGACTGATTGCCTCAAACTTCATAGCTATGTCTCGAAAGGGAATGCTCCTCCTACAGAATTTGGCTCGATTGTTCACGACATTCTGCACATTGCCAAAGGCTGCCAGTCTTGCTCTTTCACTTTTGTAAAAAGAAGTGGTAACCGAGTAGCTCATGAACTAGCTAAATTGGCTCTTTCTTTTGATAGTCTTAGAGTTTGGCTTGAAGAAGTTCCTGGTTGCATTGCTGAATTTGTATTGGCTGACTTAAGCCCATTGAGTAATTAATAAAATTTCAGCCCTGTTCTCGTCAAAAAAAAAAAAAAAAAAAAAAACAAAACAAAACAAAACTTGGGTTAGTTGGGTAGTGGTTACGTAACAGCGTAGTGCCTTATAAGAGATTAAGCGGTTAAAATTTAAATCACTTAAATATTGCTCATAGTTTCACATGTATTGAAACCTAGAATGTTAAACATTATAGATTATACTGTCCAAAAAAAAAAAAAAAAAAAACATTATAGATTTATTAAATTGAAATTCTATTTTTAGCATGGTCATGTCCAAGCGTTACGATGTTGCTGATATTAGATTCAATGCTTACTTGTGAGTCTTCTAGATTTATGTGGTAAATTAAAGGGCATGTGCAAAGATTTCTACATCTATAACCTATATACGTAGTATAAATATGATGAGGTTTTGTTAAAAAGCATAAACAATTACAAATAAAGCGTAATACAATATAAATATGTATAGACACAAGCTATGAATTGTTCATATATATAATAGGTTCAGATATACATAATTTTTTTTTTTCTTCTTATAATCTATTCTATACATTTAACAGTATCACATTACAATTTACAGTCAAGTGCTTTGCTTGTTGACCAACTCTTTATCCATCAGAATCATAAAGGATTTAAATAGTCTTGATTCTCGTAGTTATTATGCTCACACTTTACAATTTTCAAGAGTAAATTAAATGCTTATATGTAGCCCTTAGGGCTATGTATATCATTTTCCTTATATTTAAAATCAATTTTCATAACATGTTTAAATATAGATCGACCACTGCTTTTAATACTAGGAAATTATTGTCACTAATTAATGACGATTAACCATCTCGATTCTCATAACTTAACTTATTGCTTATTTTAAGAAATTTATATCACACCATCTGGACAATTATTGCATCATTGTCTCTTCATTTAGACAATTTTTTTAATATAATTTTAATTACACGCGAGTAGTATTGTGTAAAGAATATGGAGTAATAATAAAAGTATATCTTAAAGGATCGAATTTATTGTTGAAGTTACCACAACATATCAATCTAAAGAAAAACATCCCAACATACATGATATTGATTAAATTACCTATAAGTCTGTGACTTAAAAATTAAAAAAAAAAAAGTTACAAACTTGCTTCTGCTACTCTCATGTAGGTTGTGGTAGTCCAACTATTTTGAATGAGTTCATCTCAGTTTTCGTTGTCATCGTCATCGCTAATGCAAATGAGTCCATCTATATTGTCGTTGTCATCGTCATCATCATCGCTAATGTTGATGGCTTGTTTATCAACCAGCACCGAAGCATCCTCATTCTTTTTATTCTCATGATGTATAACAACATCACTTTCGATTATGATACCTGTCTTTGCTTTACCATTGTGACTTCTGCTACCATCATCATCAGTAGGCTTGACCATACCTCTCTCTTTGGCCCAATTCGGGCCGAACATAGTATAGTAATAATAGTCAGAATATTTATTATTCTTAGCAGCACTTGTAGTATCCAACGTCTTCCCTCGAGTCTCATACCTATGCTTCTTCAAGGAAGAGGGGACATTTGATGGTAATGGTGGCGTCGAATTTGCTCCCAATGATGGCCTCGGAGAGGAATCGGTGGGTGGTGTCGAAATTGCTCCCAATGATGGCCCTTCAAAGGGTTGTTTTTCATCCTCTTGATGTTGTTCGATTGATGGTGGTGGAGTAGGCGATAGTGGCTTCCCTATGTATTCAAAAACTAGTTCCATCCGCGACTCTAGAATTCGATTACTATTTATATAACAATCAAATACCAAAATGGAAAAGAAAGTTATTAATTCAATTTTATTACAAACATGTTAAGCAAAAAAGTAGGATAAAAATTAAGAAAAATACGAGTTTTGAACACAAGAGATAGATTAAGATCTAAGAAACAAAAATACCTGTCTGAAATAGGAGATGGATTGGTCGAGCTTCTACCTTCAAACAACTATAATCGATGTCGATCGTAAAAATTAAAAAAAAAAAAAAAAGTCCCAACATTTAGAAAACAAAAAACTCCGAGTAGAAACATAACATTATAGAGCAAAAAAATGAAGTCAACATGAAGCTAATTACAAATTTTACATATGATAAGGTTAAAATGAGTAATGATTCACTAAGAACCCTAGGTAGGGGTTGTTTGCAGTGCGGTTTTGATCCTAAATCGAACCAAATCACAAAATCGCTGTTTATATTCTTTTCAAACCGCACTTATAACCAAACCACATCGCAAAAATGCGATTTGGTCTGGTGCGATTTGCGGTGTAGCCACATTTTTTTTAAAAAAAAAGACTATTTTAGAACGTTTAATTATCTAATAGTAAAAAAATGCATCATATTTTTAAGCTATCATATATATATTTTTTAATTGAAATAGTAAAAAATTGGTATTATGGTTTGCGGTTTGACGATCTATACCGCAAACCACTTCAAAGTGCGGTTTGCGGTGCGGTTTGGTCTAAATTGTTTTGGAAACGGCACCAACGAAATGCAAAAGTGCGGTTTGGTCTAAATTGTTTTGGAAACGGCACCAACGAAATGCAAAAGTGCGGTTTGGTCATTTTTCAAAATCGCGCCACAATTTCCAAATTGCACCAAACCGTATAATTGCGGTTTGATGCGGTCTAGACCGCACTCTAAACAGCCCTAACCCTAGGAATTTTGGATGAAAGCAGAAAAATGAGCGATTTAAAAAAACCCTAATTTATCACAAGAATTATCAAAAAAATGATAGCAAAACTTAGAGAAAACGTGAGATTTCATGATAAATAAATAAACAAAAAATGGAATAAATAGATATGAGTTGAAATGAAATTACCTGGGAAACGAAGGCATCATCATCCCAACGAGATTGATTAAACTTACAAAGTAAAAATGAAGCTCTTAATGGAGTTCCTTCAGGAACCACCCTCCTTGCGTGTTTTCTTATTCTCATGATTTGGTGCTTATTTTTTAAGGTTTTTGATTGAAAATGAAGAAAGAAATGAAGAAATTTGGTGTTAGAGTTTTCTTGTGTTCTGCAAAATTGTTTTTGCAGAAATTACTCTCCTTTTACATATTGTAACATAGGTGTGTATTTATAGTCAGTTTTTATAAAAATAATTAAATAAATTTTTTAAAAAATTAAAAAGGGCATTTTTTTTATCCTATTAATCCATAACAAAAAAAAATGTTGAAATAGAAAGAAATTAAAATCTGGACCTATTATGGTCTTTTATATCTCTTCCACTTTTTTTGTTTTATCCAATAATGCCCTTGCCAATGTATTTGAATTTAGTATAATGCCATTCATTGTTTTTTAGTAAATTGTTTTTTTTTTTTTTGGTGAGGAAAGAATTATCTATGCCAATATAATTTGCAAGTTTGTCAACCATTTTAGGGTGACACTTTAAATTTGAAATTAAATTGATCTAATTGTGTAGATTTTCTGACTCTATCTTTGGGGGAAAAAAATATATAAAGCGTACATACAAGTACTCATGTTGTGGATATTATATTTTTCTTGAAAAATTTGTAGCGGTATTTTAAAATTGAAAAAAAAAAAAGTTGTGTTGAAATGCATTACAATAAATTTTCATAATTCTAATTTTGAATTTTATCTGTGAAAAAGTATGTAATAATGCAGATATCACATTAAAGCTTCCCAATGAAAAGTTTTATATATAATTTGTTTCCTTGTTAACAATGATTTGATGATATCTCAATTATTTGAGATTGTATTCATTACCTCAGCATGCTATCAAATATTATCAATGGCAAGGTCTACATAGTTGATTACGAATTAGAGTTTATTCTATTCACTTGATTTTCACGTACTTATTAGAAGACTTATTGGATTTGTAAAAAACATTTTCATTGTGAATTATATTAGGATGACATTGATTTTTTACTAGACTTAGCTGTGAACTATGTTGATACAATGATACGTACAAAAGTATTTGAAACACGTTAAGGTCAGTATTTATTGTTTATTTTTTTTTTTAAAAAAAAAAAATCTTTACGATCAAACTAATCAAATCAAAGACCTTTCTTCCCCAAAAAAAAACACCTAAATAAATTCAGGGATCGTTTGACATTGTTGTGGTTTTTTATTTTTAGGTTTTTTGTAATCTAAAAGTATATGATATGTGTCCCATAATGAATCAAAAATTATATAAACTTATTAAAATTATGATAAATTTGAAAACTGACAACAGAAAATTGGAAACACCTTTTTCTTGTTTCCTATTTTTAGTTTTAAAAAAAAAAGGAAACTGAAAACCAAAACTGATACCAAACAAGCCCTCATATATCAGTTTTTTTTTTTAAAAACCCTCATTGTAGGTAAAGAGGCACATGATTAAAATTTAAGAAAACAAAGACACAACTAGTAATTATAAGTGTATAGCCCAATTCCAAATGTGTGGCCCAAAATCTAGGCAGTCATAAACCTTTATAAATAGCCCACTCCATAATCTGCCCTATATTTCTTAAAGACCTAAATTTAAAAGAAAGACCGTACGGTAAAAAATAAAAATAATTAATAAATAAAAAATAAAAAAATAAATAAAATAAAAAATCCCAAATTCGCAAATCACTAATGCGATTTAGCTTGTTTAAAATTCTTTCATCTCATTTGTAATTTGTATTTCCTTTATCTAATTATTCTCTATAAAAGGAAAAAAATAAAATAAAAATCTCAAGTGAAGGTGAATTAATCCTACCCAACTCATGGACAACCCAAACACAGCCTGCTATGTCAACTAGTTGGTGCATCCCTAAGTCATCTAACCCCAAGATCTCCAAGTCAATACACCTATAATCTATTCCTTAGGAATTCTCCTTGTGAGAAAAGCTTTCTAAGCTAGTGTTTTCTTTTCGTTCCCTTACTTGGCTTAAAACTAATTAAACTATCATCTAAGACCTAGCCTTACAAAGCCATAAATGGAATTAAAGAAAAACTAGGGAGATCAATAAGGATTACAACTAAATAAAAATCAAGAAA